CAATTACTCATTGTTCCGTCACGTTGTGACCATCTTATATATATACTAGACTACCCCCAATTTAGTAGTCTCCCGATAATTCACGAAGGTTCGAGAAGGACGTGGCGTGATACTAGTCACGTGACCTCGCTGACGCAACAATATGATCAGTAGCAACCTGCCTGTCATTCGTCCTCCTACACTCAACCTCAACCTCCGACACGAGAACACTCCCCACACTATTACATCTTCTCTTGTTGAAAAACAAACAAACAGAGTCAAGTGCCCAATACGGTTTTTATAAATTTGTACTCTACCATTAGTAAGAATAATATCTGTTGCACTTTACAAGCCTGCTTAGGTTAACTATAGAGAAAAAGGTGCAAATCAACATTTTTCTTATTTTGTTTTTAAAAACAATTTCTTTGTTTGTGTTGAATTTCTCAGAAAGCTACTCGAAGGCTATCTGAGCTAGCCGACCCTAATTTAGCAGTGATAGACTCGAGGGCAGGCAGCTAGTCAACACCACCTAACTCTTAGGCTACTCTTTTACCAACGAATAGTGGGATTGGCCGTCACATTATAATGCTCCCACGGCTAAAAGGGCGAGTCGAGTACCATAATCACCAAGCCATACTTAAAAGACAGAAATGCAAATAACTGTAATAAATCGTGTATATGCAAAAAAATAATAATTATTTCTTTTTTGTTAAGCACAAAGCCACCGTCGTGAAACGAGTATTTTTAATAGAAAGTGACCCTATGATTTTGTTGGTGTTCCATGATTTTATACACTATTTTCATGGGACTATGATGTACTAGCCGTGATAAGTTTGTTTTTTATTAACGCATAACTACACAACGAGCTGGGCTATCTGTGCTCTGTCCAACGCAAATGTCGAAACCCGATTTTTAGCGTTATAAACATTCACTCTTACTGTTGATCCTCCGAGGAATAGGTGTGATAAGAAAACTATAAACCAATTTCATTTTGTTAGAATATCACTGAGTGTCATGTGTATCATTAATGCTATTACACCTATATATATATATACCAAGTTTTAGTAAATTTATTTATTAATTAGTAGCTCTTTTTTGTATTTATTTTCTAATTTTAATGTTATATGTTTACTATTTTATTTTTATAACGATACACTACTTAGTTTTTATGGATAAAAACTAATAGTATCTAGTTTTAAAAAACGAATAAGAACATAATAAAAAAATAAAAATTAATAGTATCTAATTAATAACTAGATTTGGTTGACAACAATTGATATTCGATCTTCACAACTTTACCAGTCCCCCGGTAGGACAGCGGTAAATTTACGAGATTACAACGCTAAAATCTGGATTTCGATTCCCGTGGTCGACAAAGCGCAGATAGCCTCGTGTGTATATATTTTCCTCGGTTCGACCATCACCATTAGTTTATCACATGAATCGAGCTCAACACATGCTGCGAACACGGTGACATCTAGTGATGAGTACTTGTAATTACAGTTTATTCGATTTCTTATGCTAGAATTATATAGAGTCTACAACCTTTATAACGAAAAAAAAGTAAAATAAGCGTTTCCAAATAGGTTTGCAGTATTGATTTCGTGACGATGTAAGAATAAATTTGCAGAACAGGAAAAATGATAAATATTACATTATCAAATAACTAGCAGATGAACGGTGAAACAATTCAACTGTAATCTTCCTAAAAATAGTGATGAGTAAATATAAAATGTGCTGTCAAACCAGCCCCCTGGATCAGAGCATATGTGCAGTATGATTCTCTAGTGGGCCGTTTACAACCATCTTTCTATGTATTATTTCAATAATGAAAATTGCATAGCGTTTGTTTTTAAGCAAAGGAGACTGACTACAATGCATTGTTGCCAAAATTGATTTGGTTTCGATGCAATGAGTGGATCCAGTGTAATAGAGCGCTCAGGTTCGCTAAGTAGCCATCCGCATCCTTCCTTGTAATTTTACTGAACGCAAGAAAATTTGCTACCGAAGTGAGCGCTTTTTGACAGTTGTCATTTATACAAGAAATGTCAAAGGGAAGATATTCAATTAAATTCAAATCAATTTATTCGATATGATAGAATAAAACCATGGATGTATATAATACCGAAATAGAAAAAAAACAACAGATAAATAAAATAAACATAAACCGAACAACAAAATATATATATATTCAAACACATTTTTTTCTTTATGTGCTTTCTTTTCATACTCCTATCTTGGAAATATTTATTTGATACAGTCCCGTTTTTCTCGTGCAATTCCCTCACAAAATGAAACATTTTTGTTCTTAATAAGTTTTTTTTTTTTTCTCAGATTGACCGTTCAGCACATACCAAGACTGACGGATCGATGTTGATATCAATGTGAAATTTTAGGAATGAATAATTTTCCTGTAATGTACTCTTGAAAGTAAGCATTTTGATGTATATTTTTTCTTTCTGGGTTTAGCTGTTCAGGAGATACAGAATGTGACAGACAGCCATTTGACTATTATATATATAGATAATCAAATTTGTGTTGTTTCACGATATTTAGACTTAAGGAATAGATACATAATGTTGTAATAATTTATACTGCTTAGTGGCCCGGGTTCTTTTAGACTATTCGGATAAGGATGAGAATGTAAAGCCTAGTCCACTTAAAGGCAATAAAAGCATTTTATTTCTTTGACTGTAAATTCTACGGATTCACATATAAACATTGTCTAAACAGAAATTGACATACTTGCCAGTTTCTTATCTCTTGTACTTCCTTGCTAATACAAACCCAAATTGTACAGCACTGATTTCTTAACTGGCTTACAGCAACAGTCAAACAGAAAAAGAAATAATGCATTTATTATTCGTTAACTAACTCGTTCTTTATATCTGGCTCAAGCTGTTGTAAAACTTTGGAGAAAAATCCAGACATGACATCAAACCTACCTCTAGCCAAATAAAAATCTAATCGTCTAAATTAAAAACATAGACTACAATAACACATCACTAGATAGGCTGTTGGTAATAAGGACGATAGTAATTCGATTATCACTCAATACGGTTTTAAATCCAGCCTTTGTATACATTCTTTTAAACGCATGAAGTGATTTTCACCGTACTTAGTTTATAACGGAATTCGCAAAATCTGAGTATCCCTAAAAAACAACAACATTGTATTATAATGGGATACATTAAAACTGGTGTATCGCTTTTAAAATTAGTCAACCGAAAGTTTATGAGGCGTTGCGCCTGCAGTGCTCTATTATTGACGAATTCTTCAAAATATTAAAAATATACATATATTTATTAGAGACATGTGGTTTTCATGCTGCCAATAGCACGAGCGGTTTTTATCAGCAAAGACCAGATTTTCGAGAATATAGAGGAATATTTAAAATTTGCATTATACGTACAATGAAATTTGGCAATAAAAATACGACAAAAAATAAAAACGAAACTCAATAGTTTCAGTTTTTCCTCCATGTTCAATATTTCAGTTTCTCTCTTCGCATCCACCTTCTGTCTAACTGTTACATAATTATTATTTTTTTACTGTCACTCATGTATTGACGCTTCCAGTTTAAAAATATATATACACACGCACACTCAAAATATAAATTTCTTCTTGATTGATCGATGACGGTTATATCAGATGTGGATAAATACGATTCAAAAAACTAAGCAACAGAAGAAGATCATTCTATATTATACATATTTGAATAAGCTCATAATTTTCTTAATAATTTCTCGTAGTATTAACTTCGTAAAGTAATATTTATTAGAGCTCGTTGCGGCATTTGGTTGCCAATAGTTTAGTTTCTGCAAGGCCATACTACGATATTTTACTCTTATGGATCTGGTAGTATGATATGGATAGTGAAGCGCGATATATGAATGAACATCAGTTCAACCAATCAACAAAAAATATCGTGCCTCGCGCAAATATGGGTGGTTCTGTTACCATATTAGGCTTGTCATTACCGAGAACTCTATAGAAACGTTATGCGCATGCCTAGAACAGAGAACTAGTCAGTTCAGAGAAAAGGTTTCGGTGCCGAATAACCGTGGTCTCCCAGGAATTCTCGGAAACGGGAGGCCACCGTATTCGCAGTCCAGCTAGATTCTAAGTAAAGGGCTCAACATGCAACGTGACAGCTATTCTAACTGTGGAATTGCTGATTTAAGAGTAGTGGTGCGATGTTAAAGTATTTCATTTCCCGCTTCTCGGTTTTACGAAGAAGGTTTTATCTACAGAAAGTACGTGGAGTAAGGTTGATATGTGCTATTTAATGGTGAATTTGTATCGCGTTTATAGAAACCAGCTTGTTCAAATGTGAAGGTTCTTAATACTTATTATAGTTGTGTTGGTGTTCTTTCCTGATAATTAATGGGTAGGTGGATATTCGTATACATATATAGATATATATCTATTCTATAAATATAAACAGTATATCAAATATAGAGAGATCTTTCTGTGATATATAACCTTTGGAAAAAAGTTTAATATTTTGTTAAAAGTCTGACACTGTTAAGTTTACATTAAGTGTAAGGTCAGCTTTTTGTTCAGCTCAGCCCTGTAGAAACAGCTTAATTTAGTAGGTTTACAGGCTTGCATGACTTCACTATCATTTAGATGATCTAGATTTTTTAAGTTATTAAATGTTATAATTTTTTAACGTCTTAGTATTACCTACTACTATTTGGTAAAATTGTTCATTTTTAAAATTTGTAATATACTTTTGTGCACTTGAACACAGATGAAATGTAATTTCAGTATTCATATTGCTAAGATTATACATAGTTTTATACTTATCACATTTTCAGTACGAGTGTGTATATGTGTAATAATACAGAGTGATATTTATTCAAGTACACCTAATACTTATGTCACGAGTTTTAAGTAATTCAGCTGTTCACTATATCGCAAACTTTGGATTTATATGTGTAGGTAAAATAGAAATATTTTACAAGATATACGTAATATGTCTTTAATTTTTGTACCTTAATTCATGTTTCAGCGTTTGTGGAGACACAGTATGACCTGAAATCTGTTCCGTGCAGAGACGTTGGTACAAGGGGAATACTTCGTATGGTGACTGTCACTGGGCTTTCCAAAAATTGTGACGTGTGTTTTAGGTGGCATTTGTAGAGCTATTAACGGCATACACTGCCATTGAATACTGCCTTTATAGCGTAACCATTTTAATGATTAGGTTTTATTGCATAGTATCTACATTGTGCCAAAAAACTTCAAACGATTAAAAGAGACTCATATATATCATCACTAATTCCAGTAATAAAGTGGTGAAAGTTTTATTCTGGTGTGCGTATGTTATATTATTGAACAATACTAATAGGCTGTTAAAATAATTATTCGTATTTGAAATTGAAGATTTTCAGAATTAGGCCTAACAGGCAAGGTGCCGAGTAAGCCTAACGTCAGTATAATTGCCGATATGTTAACCCGGCTTTCGGTCCCGGATTCCTTCGCACAGAATACTCTCCCAGTCCCTGGATTATTTATCGTACCTTTCCCTGGAGCTGAGTTAACTGTTCAGGTGGTATCATCAAAAGAATCAGCATCATTTATTGAAGTTGAAAGACCGGAATTGAAAAACTCACCGAAGCATTCTCCATCGGTTAACGGTTTCCAATCGCCCACAGTTCCTTACCCTACGACGCCTACTGCTGATATGGACTTTTGTCTTAATGCTGATTTTCAACGCATCAACAGGACCGTTCAGAAATTAAGAACAAGTGGTTATTATTATGAAAGTTTATCTCAGCAACAAGCATCGGTTTTACTACAGAATAAATCTGTTGGGACATTTATACTGCGCGACAGCTCAGATCCTCGTTTTCTGTTTTCTCTTAGTGTGCAAACTGAGCGTGGACCAACAAGTGTACGAATTCATTACATAGACGGTCAGTTTAGATTAGACTCTGAAGAATCCATAACAATGTTCATGCCTCTATTTGACTGTGTAGTACAGCTTGTTGAGTATTATGTTAGGCTGAGTCAATCCGCCAAAGGATCTTCCTGCGTTTGGTTAGATGGTACAGGAAGAAGAGACGTTCCAATTCGCTTATACCAACCATTGTACAAAAAAGTTCTGCCTCTTCAACACCAATGCCGGCTAGCGATTAACAAGCAGCTTCAGGCTGGGGTTAATCCAATGTTAAGCTCTAACGTTGGTATAACAGACCAAAACGTTAATAGCCTAAAGCTTCCTAACACAGTGAAAGCGTATCTCAGGGATTATCCTTACGGCCATTGACCTCACGATTGCTTTAACTGCTTACATATGTATATAAAGATATATATTTTCTAAGGCCAAATCTACTGTACAGAACCTAAATATTGTCGGAAATACTTGAAAAATGATCCTACCACTATATCAGTAGTGGATGACTATGAGGGACCAATGTAAACCTTAGTGCTGTAGAATGAAAATTCACATTTCTCACTTCTTTTTTTTTTTTCTATTTTAGCTGAAAAGCACCTTTGCAAAAAATAGACATGGCAAAAGCCTGTATAATAAACATCCATATGATGAGTGGGTTTTTACTTGATAACATATTTTTCAACACACGTTTTAGAATTTATTTACCAGGCTGATCTACTTAATGACTGAACCATATACGTATCAAATTATCATAAGTCTAAATGCAAAACGCAGTTTAAACATTGTGAACCAGTATTAGTTTATTTAATGTTATGTGCATTTTTAAAAATTCCATAAGTATGTGTAATATTAATTTTTTAGACTTATGTATGCTAGAGTAAGACCATCAGGGAAATCGAACTTGGCCCTACTATAAGCAAGGCTACAATATCAGTATAAATGGTTAATATCGAACTAATGCCACAGTGAGCAGGATTTGATTTATCCTTACGGTCTAACTCTTTCTCATCTTTTTTTTGTAATGCAGAGAGGGTGTTATTGTGTTGCCTAATATGGTATAATTATGTGTACATGGGTACCGAATATTTCGTCTGTACACCGATAAGAAATTTGAAATCCAGTGTACTGAGTTCACAAAATGCAGAACATGTTTTTATTACCCACTCTTCCACTTTTATTGTGAATAGAATAATAAAGAGAGCTGGGGACGTTATACATAGTATAAAAAATCGCTGATACCTTGTTACAAAAAATGTATTCTAAAAATTATCCGAAGTCACAAAATATTGTTAATTTTTTGTGCATTTATTCTTTTTTGTTTTTTAAAAAAATTATCTCATTCCTAAGCGAGTGCTTTATATTTCAAAGTTAAATAATTAGAATATCCAGATGGGTACAGTAAACCATTCCTAAATCAAGTTAACTGGTGCTAAATGTTACACAAGTATAAAATCATAATGTAAGCACTACCTTAAACATTATTTTAGAGAATCAGCTACATAGGCGCCTAACTTGGGGTGGCAGAAGGGTAACGTGCCACCCCACTAGGAATATTTTTTAGAAAATAAATTGTCTCGTCTCTTTCGCTCGCCAGTTCTACCTTACACCTGCCCCCTCCCACTTTTAACAAAGGCGCACGTGGTCAGCTATTGTTGCTTGTTTTATTTTTAAATAATTGTATTTCAGTTGTAGCATACAACAATGTTTAGTGTTTTAAACTTGCAATACGAAGTTTTGATAAATAAATTCTTATTTCCCTTTTAAAATCATCCGATGGATTCTTATGAATTTTTAGGATGAGTTGGATATTTTAAAATGTGATTGGTAAAAATATTTAAAAACATTCATGATATTAGAAAAACACGTGATAGAAATGAATAAAAACCCTATAACCCAAGCGCTTTCGAAATATGGACCTTTCTTCTTCAGGTATCTAAAAAGTTTTATTTAGTTTAATGGGTTCTGTTATGTTTGCTGATGAAGCTTAATAATAGGCTAATATCATGAATAAGAAAATAATATGTATTTCTTTCTATGCTTTCCAAAATTGTAAAAACTTAGTTTTATATTTCTTGCGTGGGTTGGACTTGCTACAGTTAACTTGTACTTTAAATATCACGTGCTGTTGAAATTCCTCTCTTGCTCACGTCAAACTACCATGTACAGCTGTTGAAACTTGGCATTACGCCAAGAATGTGAGACAAAAAATACAAATAATATTATGTGCCTTTTCCTAGTATTTACCACCGATTTTTCGCTGTTTTTTTCTTCTGATATTTGCTTTTTTCTCCTTCACATTCACTCTTTGTAACATAAAATTGTCACAGCGGTAAAGTTTGAAATAGAATGTTGTCGCTGTTATGAACAGCAAAGTTAAAGGTACAAGTTCAGGTTTTTTTGAAATGCTAGTGTATTTATTTAAACTTCCTGTGGCCTTGAGCCTTGTTAGTAGATTTAAGAGATATGCTTTAAATCTAAATGGACAATCGTTTAAATAAAACTTTGTATTTATATTCCACAAATATGTCAGTAGTGTTGTTTGTATTTTCGACACAGATCTTCACTAACAAGTTTTAACTCAAGAATACAAAAGCATTTAAATTCATCCAGGATGACTAACAAGGTTTACGTGCGCAACAACATGTGAACATTCATCGTTCTTTTTTCTTTTTTGCTCAAATGTCGACAAACGGAGATGGTGTCTTTTTGAGAAACAATGCCGTATCCCACAGAATGTGGAATATTTTCACAAAATTATTCTTTGCCCTTGCTTGATTGTTTATTTTTATTTTTTCAAATTAACCCTTTTTCTTTTGCTTTATACAAGGCATATTTATTGTTTCCTGTCTTTAGTTTTGTAAAGCAAAAGTTTCATGTTCATGTAGTATTTTCTTTCATACAGATTTGTAGGCTATGTTTTTAATTTTATTTAGACGTCAGTATTGTTTTGCCAGAGAGAGAGTCTGTTGATGCCAAGTGATGAGCACATGGTTTAACACCTGTTTGTTATTAAGCACAAAGCTGCCACACAAAGGGCTGAACATCTGAAATCTTGAAAGTTCAGGAAAGGATTTGAAACAAAACCTGAGTTAAACGAAAGGACGGTGTGGAGACTGTTGACTGATTATTGAGTAAGACAGTGTGGAGACTGTTGACTGATTATTGAGTAAGACAGTTAGTTCAACCACTATAAATTTTGAGTTAGTATTTTAAACAAAGTACAAGAGACAAGAAAATTAGCATGTAAGTAGAATATCTAATGGGGCGTTATTTATTATGAAGTTAGGCCTGTCGCTAAATGGACTGGATTTTCCATTCATCTTGCCCCCAGTAGCTCAGTAGTAAGTCTGAAGGCTTATATCGCCAAAAAACGGTGGGCACAGTACAAGTAGCCCATTGCACAATTTTGCGTTATTAACAACAAAAGAAAAAAAACTTCTTTTTACCGAATAATAAAGAACTCGCCTAACAATAGAAACCCTTACACCACTTGATGCCAGGAGAAGTATTTTGTTTAAAATATAAATAGAATCCAGACTGAACTTCAAGATGAAAAAATCTGTTTCAAATGAGATCGAATCATTATTGGAAGTGATGAAACGATAAAGACGATCAAGGGGGGGGGCAGAAAATTAGAAGAAACAGACCTCAAGTTAGGAAAGAAATGAGATGGAACGTAAAATTAAGAATAAAAATTTGACTGAAGGTAAGGTCGGGAAAGCTCAAGAAAATGTACAGAAGGATTATAACAACAAGATCAAAGAGTTACAGAAAGATAATAGTATCAAGAAAGTCATAGGAAATGTACAGAAGGACGTCAATGCTGGAATAAAACATCTAGAAACTGACCTGGCAAACATGGGGATCAAACCAATCACATACCTCTTTGCATTCACTCAATAATTCCAACCTAAAGTACAATTAATATGAAATAGGAGAACTCTACTTCTGTTACCACTACTGCTGTGCCATTTATGACTGCAGGATCGTCCTGGACAACTCGTGCCACATCAAACTGCAGAACTTAGCAGTCTAATTTAACAACATCAAGAAATCAACAGATTACGATAGAAAGGTACTATGGGTGGCATATCAGGCGCAACTCAAAATTATTTCCAAAGTGAATAGATGGAATCAGAGTTGAAATTCTCAAAAAAAGTAGAGGTACTCAACTGAGTGAAGTGGACCTGTTTTTTTTTTAAAAAAACTTATGTGTAAACATAAAAAAACGACAATTTGAGTGTCAATGAATAAATGCTTTCTGACAGAACAATGGAACGCACGCGCATCCGAAAAAGCAGCTCAAATAAGTCCTGGTACTAGTACCGGCAGAATTTCACCCCTGGATAGAATAGTGAACAACAAGCTATTAATGTCACTGCTGGTTTAAAGGGGCCAACATTAAGCAACCGTTCAACTGATACCCGTAACAACCATTAGGCAGTATTGGCTGCCCTATTATATTTCAAGTGTTAATATCAGAAAGAAATTTCTAAAGCAAAGTTTAAGAGCAGAGGAAGGATGAGACGTTAGCCGAACTTGCTGAAGATGTGGAAGGACTTGACCAAGTATCTTAGTCAGATGATCCACGTGAATAATTGATTCGTTCACGTAACCAATTATTATATGCTATAGTGGACCAAGATATATATATATGTCAATTCGACTAAAGCAACGCAAGTATACATTTTTATAGAAAGCTATCCAGTTGTTGATGGAATCTGAATCAATTTAAGTTTCAGATAAACAACTAAAAACACAATCAGAGAATTACGTGATTATCAGATCATATAGTATTGGAACATCAGTTCCTTCTAATGAAGGTCTAGAGTAAGTCAAGGAATTAATCAAACAACTGGTCACTCGGAATGGAGAAAGTAAGCCACAGGACAATAGATGCTTGAACTACAATGTAAAAGTACATATTGCCTGGAACTGCAGGCAAAAACATGTAAGATAAAAAATTGTCCCTTAAAGATAACGGGCCAAAAAGAAGTTATAAGCGTGAAAACCACGGACACTGGAGCCGAGGCTGTAATATGAACGGATGATAAAGGGAATAGCTATGAGAGTAAAACAACAACAACAAAATATGGTCATCACAACTGATACTGTGACCAATTAATTTTGAACAGTTTATAATAAACCAACAATATAAGATCTTGAAGGTGAAAATAGTCCATCTACCTTAATAGGTTGTTTAAAGAAACCAGCCCACAAAGGCAATGAGTTCGTTGATGGAAAGCCTTTCAAAGTGTTGATCGGCACTGGTTCTAAAAACTACTATTTTTCGACCTGATCTGGTAATGAAAGGTGAGAAATTTCCTTCAGAGATGAAGAAAGTGGATTGAACAGCAAGTGGTTATCAAGATCCAGCAGTGCATATTGGGAATAGACTGCATGCAGAGACTTAGATGTGAGGTTAGAGTAGCTTTGAAAACTTTCATCATCTATATCCAAGAAATTCCTGTACAGTACACAACAATTACACCACTAGAAGTTAGGCTTCCAGTGACAAGAACAAGAGAATAAAGACAATAAACTTAAAGTGCAACACAGCAGAATATAGAAATACGGGTAGTCCAAGCCAAAGGTTGTCCATCATGATCACCTTTGGATGCATGTTAATGTCAGAAGTAAGTCAACCTGCTGATGGGTCCAAGATTCCTGTCGAAATCACTTCTAGAGTATTACCAGTGGATTCTGTTGATCATCTACCTCCAAAAAACTCTCCCAGTGACAAGAAGAGCAAGTGTTGACAGGGGAAGAGGTCATCCTATCATATAAACTTCAGACTTTTCCTTATCACATATACATATCATTTATTCATAATCAAAACACAAAGTTTTTATGTGCAGTAAAATTATATTTATTTTGAATTAGAAGTTTCTGCTTGAATGGCTACCAAATGAAAATAGTATATAAATCAAGCATTCATTCATTTCATCACGTGCAAGTTAAAAACGTGATACTTGTTTATATGATTAAATAAAATTCGTACAAATAAGATAAACGTATAACAACATTATCTTCAGTTTCTAGTAAGCAGATAAAAAGCATTTTTAAAGAATAGCTTCATGAAAACATCCTGCTACAGATGACTTGGATATTATCAATTAAATATAGAAAAGATAAAAAATTGGGAATTTAAAAACCTGCAAATAGTGATCATTAAAAAAGTAAGGAAACAAAGCTGAATATACTGTAGATATTCTTTACTCAAACTACAAACCCCTATTTTGGTTCCATGCTGTTACCCAGAATTACATTTGGTGGAGTCAGAATACAGATTTGTAGTTTGAGTAAATAATGTCTACAGTATCTCCAGCCTTGTTTCCTTACTTTTTTTACAATCCCTATTTGAAGGCTTTTAAATTCCCAATTTTTTATTTATATTGTTTGATGGCTTTTTTTATGCTCAACTATGGGCAAAGAATTACTGGACATGATAGATGACTTTAAACATTGTAATGATAATAAACATAGCTAGTAGCCGGCTGATAGGCTCATAATGATTTACTGTAGCTATTGACTATTTGATCGCATTAGTTCGAAATATAAAATGTTAAGCTGCAGTTGGAGATTGTCATGGAGATTTGTTTGGGAATATAGTGAGAATTTATAGTTTCTATGTAACTAAATTATTTATATATATATAATGCATAGCAATGGGCAAATATATGCCTGGACTAAGTCACAACCCCTACTAAGCGCAAATAAACTTTTACGCGTAGAAAAACAGTCTTTGCAAATAAAACATCGCTATGAATAAACCTTCGTGTCTTTTAAAGTAATTATTGGGCCCAGCATGGCCAGGTGGTTAAGGCGCTCGACTCACAATCTGAAGGTCGCGGATTCGAATCCCAGTCCCACCAAACATGCTCGCCCTTTCAGCCGTGGGGGCATTATAATGTGACGGTCAATACTACTATTCGTTGGTAAAAGAGTAGCCCAAGAGTTGGCGGTGGGTGGTGATGACTAGTTGGCGGTTGGTGGTGATGACGAATGTTTGCGATCAAATTTGATATTATGTGTACTGATTTTTTTTTTATTCCTTCACTTCATACATAATATAAGGGTTGGCTCTAAAGACACCGATTGTATAGTGTACAAAGCATTGAGTATCTACATCTTACACTCATCTAATGTTCATCTATTATTGGCTGATAATTCCTGTTTCACCCTGTACTTAAGCTTTTTAAAGATATTTGTAAAAAAGCTAACTTCAAGGAAGTAATGATAAAATCGTTTACACTAGAATTATGATGTTTTTTGATTATGTAAAATATAGACGAAGCAAATCGACTTTTCAATACCCCTACGACTTTTGCGGTACCTTATTTAGTATTTTTCAAAAGGTTTGGGTGCAATATACCAAGCTGTTGTTTGTTGTAGGCTGGCAAGAGAATGATAATAAAAGAATAAGAATGACAAACGAACCGTTTTGAGCGGATTTTCTTTTCCTTGTAAGTCTAACATGCGTACTTTTTTGTGCATTTATACATATATATAGCCATAGCAGTC